AAGAAAAGCAGCAAAATACTTCATTTCAGACTATATCTACCACAGAGTCCTTATGGTACTGACTACCACCATGTCAACAAGACCTTTTCAAAGCATGGCTTACAGCAGACTCGGCATTTATCTGAGCTTTTCACTCTTGCCTTCTCAACTAACCTCTAAGTAGTCCAAAGACCAGATTTTTTTTCCCTATTAAACAGTCCCTTCCCCATAATCTTTACCAGGGAAACATTAATTTTCCAAAACCAAGGAAAAAGGCTATAATGTGCACACAAAATGGCCAAGCTCCTTCCCGTAAGTGTATACACTGGGATAGTTTTACTAACAAACAAGAGATTTCGAAATATTTATCAGGGGATGGAATAAAGGATTCAACATGTTTTTCCTGTTAATATTATTTGTAATGCTCAGAGCACTTCAGCACAAGGTCCTGTATGACCAGAGCAATTAGATATTCCTGCTGCCAGAAGGTAGCAAACTATGTAAAACAACAAGACTGGTAAAAATAAAGCCAGCATTTGATAAAAACCAACAAACCAACTGCTAAAACAAAACCAGAACAGGAACCTGAAACTAAATTAATCCATCCATATCTAGGTCTCATTTCAAAACAGCTAAGTGTGCCTAAGTCTACCAAATGAAACATTATACAACCATAGAGCAATTTGGGTTGGAAGGGACCTTTAAAGGCTATGCAGTCCGCGCCCCCTTAAATGAGCAGGGACATCTTTAGCTAGACCAGGTTGATCAGGACCCCATTCAGCCTGGCCTTGAACATTTCCAGGGATGGGGCAGTCCCAGCTTCTCTGGGCAACTTGTGCCAATGCCTCAAAACCCTTAGAGTAAGCAATTTCTTCCTAATATCTAGTCTACCTTTTAGTTTAAAGCCATTAGCCCTTCAGGCTGAGCTGAAGTTCGTAACCATCAATCTTATAAGCCCCCTTTAAGTTCTGAGAGGCCACAAGGAGGTGTCCCCGCAGCCTTCTCTTCTGACCAACCCCATCTCCTTCAGTCTTCACAGGAGAAGTGTTTCAGTCCTCTGATCAGTATTATGTTTGATCATGTGTATTGTGGTCCATAAAGTTGAGAGGTGTGGGAAGAGACACTGACAATGAAGAATGAGGCAAAAAAAGTGGTTGAGTACTTCAGCCTTTTCCTCATCTGCTGTGACCAGCCTGCCAGCCATGCTTACCAGGAGGCTAAACATATCAGGCATTACTTTTCATTTGCAAATGGCACAATCCCCTGGCCAACCAAGCTTCAGTCAAGCCTGTGGGTGTTACATGCTGTCCCTTTGCAAGGGAGCTACAATGAGGGGACTCCTGCACCAAAGATGCAGCAATCCAGGGACCCTCTTGTGCTGCTCCACCCCTGAGGAAAACAGAGCAAAGAGAAGGGGCAGTCCTGAGCCACTACAGGGACTAAGGACACACACAGCTGCTGCAGGAACATCCACACAGACAAAGATTTCAAGCAACCTGTGATTTTAGCTTGATTAGTAGATTTTCTCCAACTATGTAAGTCAGTGCAGTCATTTGTCACTGAGCTCTAGGGAGCCATCCAGAGGGAAAAAAAGAAGTGTTCTGCCACTGCAGCCTGTCACCTGGGCAGTCAGCATCTCTCAGCACTTGTGCTGTTGTATAAATTACATCCCTCCCAGCTTGGTCAAGTATGTCCATCATTCAGCACATATGTAATCTTTGCTATTTTATTGTCTCATTGATGGAAGAATTAGCTGCACAGTGGGAAACACGTTAAGAAAAGACTACCAATTATTTTGCCCTGTTACTAACTTCTTTAATCCCCTGTAATCTCTTCTAAGGGGGATTCATATCTACTCAAATCACTTCACAGGAGACATATATAATGTAATAGAAGCCCTACACACCAAAGCAAACAAACCCAGCTTCTGGTGCTCCAGAGTATCAAATGCACCAGCCATTGCTGGAGGACAGATCATAATTTGCAAACAGTATGCAATGGACTGTCCAAACTAACCCCAGTTACTTGATCCATTCAGTTGGGAAAGTTATCATCACCTAGGCCATGACCTCTGTTCCTCCAATAATGAGGCAACCACTGCCTAATAAGAGATACCTGGTTTTGTTCTAAGCACCTTGCGGTGTTCCCACCTACACAGCAAGAACTTAATTATTTCATAAGCTGGTATTAAATACCAGCTGTGAGGCTACTCAAAAGCTTTTTTCTGATTTGGAGATATAATTTGTGATCTTGATCCTGCAGGAATTATGGCGCAGGATCCTCAATCACATTATAGGAGAACTGCCAAGAGATAAACATTTTTAATTTTGTTGTTGGTGAGTTTTGTTTGTTTGCTTGTTTTGCTTTTTCTATATTGACATAGTGAACTGAAGCTGCTGATCACTTTTGCAGCTGAGATGGGAAAAAAAAGAAAGATTCAACCCAGAGAAGCTAGAGGTCATGGAAGAGGCAAGGGAAATACCATGGCAGTGCCATGTAGCTCTTGATAAATGAACTTAGAATACTGAGCAATTTTTGCATTTGGTTGTTACCAGTATCCCAACTTTAAAAGAAAAAAATTATCTGATCTTTTTTTCTTCTGAGTTATTGATTCACCTTTGTCCTTTCTATAATGAGTGTCCTACTGCAGTCTTCTCAGCTGTTCCTTCAAGCTGGTGTTACTGCAATGAATACTCCTGAGAATGGCCTTCAGTTACCACTCACATTTGACTTGGGCATTATTATAGCAGACCATTAGTCTGGTTGAGCTGCTCATGTCAGCACAAAAATGTATATTCTTTAAATGACACAGTTTTTATCCACTTCTCAATGCAATTTCAGAAGTTTCTAATATACAATACCTTAGTTGGTAAAACTGCCTTACTTGTAGGACATCTGCTGTGCAATATAAAAAATGAATTAGATCTGTCAAGGCACTTTATTATGCTCATTTTGACCCTTATCAGCTAACACATACTGACTTTCCAATTAAAGATGAAGACATTTTCTGAAGTTGTGATTAGATAAAGCCTGAGCTGTTTTAGAGACTCCTGGGAGAAGAGGTGTTTATAAGGAGTTGTCCACTGTGGACAGCTTAAAGCAAAACCGCATATAATTTATCCACCTGTTGCAAATGGATCCATCAACAGAGTAAGAATGATTAGCATTTTAACAAAAATCCATCAGATTTAACCAAAGTAATGAAAGAAATTCAAAAATACATTAAAATACACAGAAATCCTTCACTGCAAGCAAGGCTTCTTTCAACAAAACTCAGCAGCTAGAGTATTTCTGTTTCTTACTACCTGTGCATGCATGACTTCATGCCCCTCTAATCTTAAGACTTACCATGATGCAATAAGAAATAATTTACCAGCTCAGTATCTGTGCAGATCTACATAATATTAATTACAGTATGCTTTGCAATAAAGATCCAGGGTCTGTAGTCTTAATTCTGGCTGGAGAGGAATAATTACAAATTTGACTCCAGTGCATCAGTGTGCAGTAACCACAGAGCAGCTAAAGGGGGTAAAGCCCCTGGGACTGTGAGGTTTTCCCCTCCTTGGTGGCTATATTGTTTTCACCAAGAGTGACTGGGGATCGCATTGTTTTCTAGAATTCACAAAAATGTTACCCCAAAAGTCAGTTTATCTCTCTTAAAAATAACATATCACCATTACGATGCTGGTGGAATTTTGTGAAATGCTTAACATAACAGCTCTGGGATCGATTTAGGATTTAGAGCACTACTAAATGCCAATGCAGACAAACACAAGATGATTTGGGACTCTTCATAAAAATAGTGCTATTTATACACTTAGCTGCCTCTGCGATTCAATGGTAGAGCTGCTGACCTCATATGCAACACCATACCATGATGATTGTGGCATCAATTCATTAATCAAAATGACAGAGGGTCTCATGATCAAATGCGAGAGGTTCCTCTACTTTTTATGACAGTAGTGCTTGTGATACAGCCATACTGGATCCATCTGTGATTGAACTGGAAACCAGCTATTTTCTATACTCAATGGAATTCTGATTTATGATGTGCTTGAAATTACAGTGGATTTCTATTAAAGACAAACACTTTGTGGTAAGGTACCATACTTACCTGTAATTTAGTTATGTAACAGTAGTATCCTCCATAGACCCCACATCCTTTGGGGTTTTATGTTTTTCAGATATGCAACTTTCAGAGCCAACTTGGCATTTTTTAAGAGTTTGGCCTTTTTCCTGAGGCCCTAAGCAAACCTCAAGCCATGAAGGAGCAGAGAATTTATACAGGTCTGCACAGACTCAATCAGCAGTTTCCTTTCCACTGACATTCACAGGAAGCCAGCATGTATGGAAAGATGGGGGCATGCAGACATCAACAATTACAGACAGGCCACTTTTCCCACATTTGGAAATGTGTAGCTCAAGGCTAACTATTTAGTCAGTGTCTTCAGTGCATGAGAAACCTCTACTAGTTGGCAGATTTTCTCTTTGAAAAGTTTATTAATTTATTCTATTACTCAGCATAGGCAATGGTAAAGTAAAGGCTGCAGGATGACAAAAAAAGGGCCAAAGAAAATGACATTTTAGGTGAAACTGTGATGTTCAAATGTGAGAAGAATATTTCTAGCTGGCAAGCATACCACTTTACAATATGCTTTGTACCTCAAATATTTCAGGGATACTCACTGATCCAGCCCCTAAAATAACACTTGGAAGAATTACACACAAGCTCATACAGACTCATGCACCCACCCACCTAACTTACTTACCCATTCTGAAGATGACAGGGTCTACTGTAAAAAGAAGACATTTATGTTCCAAGACTGTTGTTAGTTCATTTCACTTGTGCACTTCTGGACTGCTTATAGAGACTTACTTATAACTTAGTCTTTGGAAACACACCCCCTGGTATCATCTCTTCTGGCTGAGTATTCTTTACAGGACAAAAATTACTGACTCAGTATCTATGTAGGAAAAGAAACTGCAAATTTAGGGAACTAAGGTAGAAAAACATGACCTACCCTTCCTCAATTGTAACAGAATTCATGATGATACAGTTTGTTATCTTAACTTTGTCTTTTATGGTACACATGCTGCCGATGATGGAGTGTTTGATGGATGTCTTCTCTCCAATTTGTGTGGATGACCCAATGATACTGTCTGATCCAACCTAGGGAAGAAAAGAACAGAAACTCGCAAAAGTATGTGGAGCTCTCTGATATATGTTCTCCATACACCTCTCCCAAAGCACGTCTCAAGCACTCATCAATAAAGTTTACTCTGCTCTACCCTGAGGGATCCTTGGCAGAGGAAAGACCTGAAAATTTAGGGCCCACCCCATAGGCAGACAGACAGTCTTCCCAAGGTCTGTTAGCTTGGTAAAACTCCTAAAAAATCCAGTGGATCTGGCTCTGTAGGCTTCATGCAGAAGTAAGCACAGTAGGCACGTTCCTGCTGGTACTCACTGGTTTCACTCAGGTTTGCCCTGTGAGACCTGTTAAAGGGAGCCTTGAAGCTGGCATTCAACCAAAACACATCAGCAAGAAGCAAAGCTAAAATACTGATCTTTTCTGGGTTTGGTGTCCTTAGGGAGGCAAACTGCTCAACTATCAGGAACTGCCATTAGGGAACAAGAGGCTGCAGTGTCTGACTTGGGAGTAAGATAGACTTTTTACCAAACATTTTAAAAGAGGGAGACTGAAAGGCTGGAACCCATGGGTGAGCCTACAGAAGATTCTGGGCTGCATCACCTACGTTCCACCATTCCACTCTTCAAAACTTGGCTTCGCTTCCAACAATGGACTGAATTTTAGTAAGCATTTCTTGAAACAAATGGTTACAGACTACTGAAAGAACAGAGATGGGAAAAAGCAACACTTACCATGCCTCTATCAGTGATCTGTGCAGACCCATGAACCAATGACTCTTCCAGACCCAGATTAAGCAATAATTTGGGAACCTACATGAAAAAAAACCACATCACAAATTAACATGGTAGTGCTGTACCCACAAGTTACATAAACAGCTCAAAGATGGCTTTGGTTTCCATTGCACAAGTGTATTTGCCATAAACTTTTTAACTTATGAGAAAAGGCAGGTCACTGCTTTTCAAAAGTCCACCAGCTATGTGTGATTTATCATCTCCCACTTTTGTAAAGGAGACAGGTACATTGCTACCACAGTGCACTACATGTCTCCTTTCAACTCAGCTTCCCACCTGTGGAGAAGCAGTGGATCAGCAGCAGCGAGCAGGCTGCCTCCAGCTGAACACAGTGACATCTTGTATGTTACCACAATGTCCAGCATATGCCATTCCTAATGCAGCTCAGCTTGTTTTACACTGTCTAGTAAAGCAAGGGAGGGAAGCAAGTAATAACAAATATAAACCAGAAAACTGGCATAAAAAGATGACTGTGTCCAGCCCACTCCATAAGATAGTATTCTGAGGCATGGGCAACAAAATTGTATTTCAGATGTTAAAGTAGAAAGAGACTAAAATTGATCAAGTGGCTATTCCAGATGATGGAAAGCTGCACAAGAAAAGGCTCTCAACAGGGAGAAGGCAGGTGTTAGATAAACAGACAGAGCAGCAGTGGTAATAAAGAGAGACACAGCCCATGAGGTAGCCAAGAATAAATCCATGGAGAGCAATTCTGAACTGGCTCCTGAAAGGAAGAGGAGCTAGCATTGCAGGAGGATGGGATATCACTCCATCATTCCTCCTTTTGTGGGTGAAAGAGCAGCCTGAGGCATTCTGCATCTCCTGGCGTCAGGCTGAAGCCAAGGTCCCACAGCACAGAAGCGATGACAGCAGGGACGGGGATGTCAGGGGAGGTGGGAGCCTCGCAGCAATGCACAGACACAGTGCTACACAGTTACTCTATGATGTCTCTTGGTAGGACAGAGATGGCAGTCACAGAACACAGGAGACAGGGATGTGTGAGGGCTAAGAGGTCTGTGCCACAGCAAATTGCATGGCTGAATGAGAGGCAGCATGTGCTGGAGCTGGTGTGGAGCTCTGCACATGCTGCTTGGCCAGCCAGGATGTGGGCACTCACCGTCCATCTGGGAGGTCATCTGGAGTCTCAGCACAGTGATGGTGCAACTGAATTTGCCTCAAGGGAGAAAGCAGCACTCACCAAGTCTTCCTTTTCTCTACCCAAGCACCTATTTTTACAAAACTCTTAGAAAAGCTTATCTCCGAGATCACTATTGCTCTGTTAAATTTGGCTGAATGTTGCCAGCAATTTCCATAGCTGCTATTAAGGAACTGCTACACACTACAATTGTGTAAAATGATTTCCTTAGAAAGCTGGGATAACAAGAGCTCATGGCTAAGGAGTGAACCTCAAAAAGCAAATCCCACAGATCTGAAGAAGATGGGATCAGATGAGCTCACATTTCTGAGCTATCATTTCAATTTGCTTGTTGGCCCTAGTAGACATTTTCACATCTGTAGCTCTTTATATCTTGAAGTTGGCCCTTCCCACTAGACTTGGATTTTGTTTATTTTTTTAAAAAGCAAGAGTAGATTAGATCCCTCAGTCCAAGGTGCAGGCACTACAGAAAACCACCAGGTTACCAGAACACCACAAACTAGGCAAATCCACCTGGATGATGCTGGCTGGGTGAAGAGATGTCCTAACATGTCACCTGACACAAAAATCCAGGAGAAGAACACACACCAAAGCATACCTACAGCAGAGGTTGAAAAGATTCCTACTATCCAGTATTGATCTGCAGGAAGGGGAAAAAAAAAAGAAAGGCTCTTGACCTCTCCAGTGGAAAGGTGGTGGGGTGAAATAAATAAAGGATTTTACTGGCCAGAGCAAAGGCCTTATTAGAATCAGTCAGTGGTAGTGCAGCCTGAGGGGTAACACACGAAAGCTACAAGCTCAAGCATTTTGCTCTCAAAAGGAAGGTTAGACCGGGGGCAGGAGTCAGAGGGAGTGCCTGGGTCAAGGGAAGGTTTAAGATGTGTTTGGATTTAATTCATCTTACAAAGAAACTATTTCCTGCTATTGAAGATAACTCCCTCCTGAACCCACCTGCCCACACACAGGCTGCAGGCATCCAGAAACCCAGCTGGAAGTGAAATGATGTGAGCAGTGTTTCCTCACCAGAAGGGCAATGGGTTAGGATGCCATTGCTTCCCACAGCTACCGGACTGGACTGCTACTGCTACGTGAGTCTGTCCTTTGGGACCTCAAAGTTATAGGTCCTGACTTTGCAGCAAGGGGATCAGGATCTGGTCTGTGAAGGCCAAGATAAGAGCAAACTAAACACCCAAAATCTTCCTTAGAGACCAACAAAACAGGTATCCCCGGCCCCCATCATCAAATTAAATGTGCATCTTTTATGAGGATTAGCAAGAGAAACAAAATGCAGTGGCACTGAAAAAAAGAACTACTTTCTCACAACTCCTCATTAAGCTCCATTTTATGTTTTAGCTCTACATAGTTTCCTTAGAAATTTTACCATCCTGGAAAAGTTCAAAATTCAAAGAAAATCCTTTCCAACGTTGAAGGCCCCAATGCGACTTCAAAACACTAATTCTTTGTACCACCCAGGAGCAAACATATTTCCTGAACTAACCAAAATGTAGAATATTTAGGTTAAAAAAAAAACCCAACCAAAAACAAAAAACCAACACAAAAAATCCCACATGGAGTCTGACTGGCTTAACTCAATAACTTTTTACTGAAGTGGCTGCTGCCAAATGTACACGCACACTTCCCTTAGCAAGTGGTATTCTCCCTTAACCCTTTGGGCACACTTGTTCCTGCTCTCTTTGGGGAAGTTTTCTCTGACAGCAGCGCTGCCTCTCTTCCTCACCTCCCTGAGCACAAAGCAAATCACTTTATTTCTGTGATCCTCTACAAACATCAGGGAGAAAGAGCTCCAGTGGTAAACTCATGCTGCCATTCTGCAATTCTGATTTGCATTAATTAATCCATTAATGTTGTCAAAAAGAAAGCAACTCAGTCTGAGAGCAAATGCAAGGCAGTGACCACTTCCAGAATTCCCAATACAACTTTATCACCTTTTCAGGCCCAATTCCAAAAATCTTGAGTCTTTCCTTACTGCACTCCTTAGTGGTCTTTCAAAACTAGAGGAAACTGTCCATTCTTGATAACAATGAAATTCATCACTAGCAGAGCAAAGTACAGAGAACTTATACATTGCATCAGCCATTGTAGTAAAAAAAACCCCAAACCCTGCCTCACAAAGATATTAAGAACTTTTAATCATCAGCTTGTTAGGTAGTACAAGATTTCCCTAATTCTCATCTGTCATTTTTTTCTTTTATGAATTCTCAGTAGTGTGAAAGTGAAAGTTGCAACAGATGCTGCCTCAGATCAAGAGTTCACCTCTGTGTGTACCTGGAGTACCACAGTAAGAAAACCTGTTCTTAAAAGAATTCTTTTATAATGCAAATCATTAGGCAATTTAAATGAAAGGGTAGTTTACACCTCTCTGCAAACTGTTAATAATCTATGTTATTATCACAAACAAACATCTGCTAGGAAGAGTCCAGTCAGAACTGATCTTGCTTTTAGGACATGGAGGACATTGGTTAAATGAGCTATCAAAGCTACTTCCATTCTTATTTTTCACACTTTGTGGCTCTTTGGATTTAGGTCTTGCTGCTCCCAAAACACCAGAAGAGTGCATAGGGTGAGGGTTTTCTCAGCTAAATCAAATCTAGAGCAAATCAGTGACAGAACTGTTTCCTGGCCTCACGTCCCTATCCAGCAAGTAGGGTAATGTGCCTGGATAACGTGGCTCTGGTTCAATTCCCACTTACTCCTCAGCTGTAGCACAGGGAGTCACTCTGCAGGGTGAAACATCCTGTAAGCTACTGCTGTGTTCCCAGGTGGAACCTCTGTATTTTCCTCACCTGTCTGTTGGCTTCAGTGTACAGCCCAAGAGTATTCACTCGGTAGCACAGCCCCTCCTTCATGATATGGACGTAGCAGCGCACTTTTCCTTCGTGGAGAGTTTCATTCATATCTCCTCTACGATCATTCCAACAGGAGTTATCTGGTGCAGGTTGCAGCAAGCTATTATCTTCCTTTATGAAACTATAAATGTCTGGAGAACACACACATGCATGAAGTTAGACAGGATTTAATGAAATACCTTCTGAAGAGGAATACTATTAAAATACTGTTGGTGAAGGGAAATCTTCGCCTCACCTCATCTCCATGGCTAGGTACTCAGCAATCATTAACAGATTTTATCACATGTAGTGAGTAAGTGCTTATTTTTATTCTGCAGGTGTGAATTAAAGAATCAGAACAGATGCAATGTTTTGCCCAAGGTCACACAAGGAGACAGCAGAAATGCTAAAAATAAATTCCAGAATCTGAGATCCTCTCCAGTTCCCAGTACAGTGTGGTTAAGGCTTAGTCTGTTGTCCTATGCAATTTTAGGAATTCCCTCCTAAAATGACATTTTCAACAATGAATCTAACTTTTTTCCAGAAAAAAACCCGAAACTAGAGCCCCTAGCTGATTTGCTAATTGTTTACACCAAAATAAGGGAGGACAAAAATGTAGATATAGTACACAATACTGTTTGAAAAAGAAATCTACTAAAATATTTGTTAGGGGAAAAAAGCTTCCTCTGCTGAGGAAAAAAGCTGAATCACTAAAATAGTGTTTCAGGCTAGTTCTGTACCCTACTCCATAACACAGCTGTAGCATATGGGCTTTAAAACTTCCATAAACCCAAATCTCTGATATTGTACTGACCTAGGGATGCTTGCTCTTTTCTCTTTTGGTCCTCTTCTTTGTTGTCTAGTCCTTGCTGCAATGATGCAGGAGAAGAAAACTGTTTCCTAACCAGATGTGGAATCAGTTCACTCCGGAGAGATGTGATTGTCCTGGAGAAAGAGACACATGAAGTCTGTGAATGCTAAAACTTATGTCTTCATTTTCTTTGTGTAACACCATCAAACATTTTGCACACTTCATGAGGATGAATCAAAATGGCAAGACATTAAGACAATGTCCACTTCTTTAATGCATTAAAATATAAAGAAATATTCAAAATGAGGAAAAAGCTTCATTTTCAGAACTATGTCCCCTATATTTTAAGAGAGGTGACTATAATTTCATATGTTATTATCCTATAATTCATACTTGTGTGCAGATGGAATGCAGAAAGTACCAACATTTTGTAATGACAAAAACTGAAGTCACTTTATGTGCCTTAAAAAGTGGCATCAATTGACTGGAAAAGAGAGAATAAAGCACCCACAGAGGGAAAACCAAAGCAGCTCCTTTTCTTTGTGATAAAAATATGGAAATAGGATATATGAAATATCAGATTTATCAGAATATCAGAAATATCAGATTGTTAAATTAATTTTTTTATGACGCATGCATTAATGATATTCCTGCTGAAATGACAGATCCAGAACATTTTAAAGACTCATTCCTTTAACAAGAGAAATTAGGATGTTTCAGTTTAGGTCCCAACACTTTCATGTTATTTAGATGCTCCAATATAAAATGTGTATGTGAACAGAAAGCTTCCAGAGGCTTCAGCTGGCAATACACCCATCTTCCTCTTGTACAGATTTCAACTGTTATTGTATCCACTCTGATACCCCAATACCAGGAGGGGTTTTATCCAAAACCACCTATGCCTTAAACAAGGGTCCCAATCACTAGATTATCTCTACTCTTGCATCAATTTATACATTGCAATGAATCAACAAAAAACTCTCACAAAAGACAAATATCAATGTAGAAAGTCTATTGTACAATGGGATTATAACCCTACAAATTTAATTTTGATTATGAGAAGAAAATTTTATTTTTCAATAAAGTATTTGGGGAAAAACCCCAAATCAACAGTTTTTACAGTTGGAGTGCAGTCTTAAAATAGCTTTATTGTTGTTGTTTCATTATTTTAACAATCTCCATTTAGTTACTGAATTGTGGATTATTTAAAGTAGTACTTGGGAAAATCACGCGGAAAATGAACTCAAACTTGGCATGTGTAAGAGGAAGTGCTAAACTTCAGAGGAAGGACTGGAGAACTAACACAGTGAGTTTGGCTAGAGGAACTCAACAAATAACAACCCACAAAGAAAGAGGAGTTGTTTAGAACGGAAGACAGCAAAACTAGGAACTAGCTAACAGATTAAATTACGAAAGGCAAGTACTAGAATGAGTGTGGTGAAAATTATTTTGGTTGGCAAAATCTCTAGCAAAGGGGGATCTTACACAGTTAAAACTTTAAGACCAGCTCAAAGCCCACCCAGGCCCCTGTTCAGGTCAATGACAGTGAAGCAGACCTAAGGACCAAAACAGTCTTTCCTGTCTCTGGCTTTGAAGGGAAGATTCAGATGTGATTGCCAGTTCAGCCCTATGAACAAATACAGTGTGTTTCTTTTTCTTGACAAACTTTTTCTTCAGCCCTCAGTGCAGGCTGTGTCACATCTTCTGTCCCGCAGCCCAACTCTGAAATTTTACTTTTATGTTTTATTACAGACAAGGAAAACCTCTAGTCTTTAGTCTCTCCTCCTGCTCGAAAATAAGATTATAATCACCTTCAGATAGCTGTATTTCAGGAACTAACGAAGTGAAACACTTCATTCCTTAATCACCGAATTTCTGCCTGCTAACCGCTTACAGGCGCGCTCAGCCGCGGCCGCGCCGGCCCCGCGCTCCCACACACGTGGGGCTGTGCAGATGGGCAGTTTACTAGCTCACAGTGTTTGCCTGCAGCTGTGCCATTCAGCAATGATTTCCTGCTTGGGTTTTATACTGCATCCAAAACCGACAATCCTCTGTTTCCCTCAGAGGCTGGCTATGGCATTTATAAGATATATTACCTATAAAATACCCAAGTATTTGGCAGTCTTAAATAGTCTGATGCAGAGGACAACACAACACGGTAGGAAATGAAAGCAGTGGAAAGGGGAAAAGACAAAGTTTTGCAGTTTTGCCTGGTTTTTGATGGTTTAATCTTTCTTGGCCAAACTCCTGAAGCTTTCCTGCAATTCTCTGAAGTGCTAGCCACATTCCTTTGCCAAAGGTGGAGCAAATCTCTGGGTCACCCCTAAGATGTGGCTCAGAAACACATCCTTCTTACTGGAAAAGGAAAACCAGGAAAGTTTGCCTCTGCTTGCAGTTGAAGCAATTTATATGCAACATTAAAGGAATTTGCCTTTGGAAAGCAGTAAAAAATACACAGTAAGGCCCTCTGTGAGAAAGATTTGGGTATTTTTTGCAACAGATCTTGCAAATTAAGATATACAAAGTGATAGCATGAGACTATTATCTGACTGTCAACAGTGGGAGCTGGAACATCTAGCTGGAACTAGGAAAGGAATTGAAATCAAAGGAAATGCAGAGGGACTGAAGACCCTTTATCAAAAAGGACAAAAATTAGCAGGAGTTTGGAAGAACCAACTGGCCTGTAACCTAGTGACAGAAGAAGACAAACCATAAAGGTTTCTGGTCTAGTGTTTTTAAAATTTTTACAATCAAATCCCTAACTTCACATGCCTATATTAAGAAGAAATAAACCTAAGACTGTATAAGGTGGAGAAAGCATCTTTTTTTATTCTCTTCAGGTTTTAAAACTTGGAGCCCCCTGGTTTCTAAAGCTCGTTGTTTTTGTTAGCACCGAGAGTGAAAATGAAATACGCACTGAGAGAGTGAAAATGAAATACGCACTGAGAGAGTGAAAATGAAATACGCACTGAGATCCACAGAAGGAAAAATCTGCTACAACCAGGAGAAAGAAAGTTAAAGGGTGAGTGGAAGGAGAGGAGGGCACACAGAACTTTGGCAGAAATCCAATTCTAAGCCAATGTGAAGTAAGCATGCTCCTGACACCTCAGAGCAAACTCCAGACAGCAGAGAGCATAAACATGAACCTGCCTTTGAGAAACGTTTGCCAAAATAAATATGTTTTCATAAAATCTAGCCCAAGTGACAGGCCCTTTTTCATGACTTTTCATTCCCTAAATTTTGATTTTTGTAGTTCTATCTGTCTGTTTTCACATCAACAGAAAGTAGCAGGTTTTCAATGAAACCACCAAAGATGGAGAGTGCTGTTAGATGTCTTCTTGTAAATGAAGAGAAGAGGACACACTAATCCCTGAAACACCTTATGTGGCTCCAGTATCCTGAGAACAAGAGATGGCAGCAATTTCGAAAGGGTTGATACTGATCACATTTCAAGCATGCAAAAAGAAGTACCATCCCTGGCATGGAATCTGCCATTCCTGCAGCAGGCCACAGCTACAGGGGATATTGGCAAGAGATGGTGCATAAATGGGGGAAACAAGGACAACTGGCCAGTTGAAATTCATGGTGCAAGTGCAAGAAAAAAAGTGGGAATTCAAGTGAAGATGAAATATTTAAATATCAAAAGAACCTCCTGGAAAATTCAATATTAAATGTACCTAAGAGCTCAGAGCACACATCAGTTACTTGCAGTCAGCTATGTGGATTGCAGACTCAGACTCAGGCAATAAAAACTTAGAATAGTCAAGGTTAATTTTATTTAAAACCTAAAACATTAAGGGGCAAAAATGGCTACTTAGTCAGACAACTGTTATTTTACTGAGTACTGTTATTACCAGCAAGACATAATAACACCTTTAGAATCCCTTTATCCCTGGTTCCTGTGCACTCTCTGCATTCCCAGTGTTTCTGGGATTTTTACATCTCAGTAAGGGCACAGATAAGGTTCATGCTAAATTAAAAAGTTTTACTTGTGAAAGAATGTTGGGTGAAAACACCCTAGGTCAATAAGCTTCATATTTAAACACAGCTATGCAGAGTGTTTCAGAGACTTTTAACCATAATTAAACTTAAAACAGTCTACAACATGGCAGAATTAAGTTTGTATCTATGTATGTTATATTATATTACATTACATTATGACCCACAGAGGGCCAACTTTTACTTGTTGCTGAAATGCAATTGCCTCTGGGATGAAGCTTATTGAAACTTCAGCAAGAAATGAAGAACAGTGTGGCCAACTGAAACACAAGAAGAGTTTTGGGGGAAAAAACCTAACACTGTCCCCTTCAAAAAAAACCAAAAAATGATTTCACAATTATGCTTTAATGGGCTGTGATTTCTGCTCTTAGATACACGTATTGCTGGAGATTCTGTCATAAAACATGGAAAATAATGGTTCTGACCAATGATGATAAGGAAAGGAATCTTATAAAATATTTTATAATAATACAAGAGTCTATTTGAATCTAAGTTTAGGTGAGCTTGCACAAGTCTAGGTAACTGTAGGTGCTGTTTGGCTTGATCCAAGCAGGAACAGGAGAATCCACAGCTTCTGCTTCCTGCAGCTCATTCTCACCAGCTTCAGGCACCCTGAACACAACTGTCAGTTCCATTTACCGGCTGTCATTCATTTTCATTTTCCATGTTTAATGTTAAACACCATAAAATAGTATTAATGAGTATTAGCATTCTAATATCCTCCCTGTTTTATTAATCTGTGATGAAGCATGAAACCTACTGTTGCTGTCAGCATCCACCTGTGAAATCTGCTGTTGCCCTCCATGGGTAGCTGCAGGGGGCTTCCCTTGCTATCACTGTCAGCACAATCAGCTACATCTACAGGTGCAGATAGTGTTTGTGATTCCCCACTACAAACAAGCAGATCATTAGCCCTTTCATACCTATTTCTGTCCTTTTTTTTTTTTAAACAGGCAAATGTTAGCTCTTGTACAGCTATGCAAGCTGGGTTGGGTTCTGATCTTAGCTCCATGGCCTTCAACAGAGATTCTTCAGATCACATCAAAAGAACATGAGGCTGTATTTCAGACTGGTGCTCATAATTAATGTTAGAAATGTATACATAAATACAACCAAACAAATCCTAAGGCAACTT